GCAGCTTACGGGAGGTCTCCAGTGGTAAGTGTTTACCCTAGGGGATGCTAACGTGCCTGCAGTCTGGAGTTGGCAGAGTCCAGTTAAATTAAAGGCATGCAGGGTTTAAATCTCGTTCTGCCTATTTGTGATATGGGGAATAGGTTGTGGAGGAGGTAAATGAAACTCATGATCACTGAATTCCCACTTAATGAATGTTTTTGTTCTGCTTGGGGAAATCTGCAGGTTGGTTTTGATCCACATCATCACATGCGAGTCCCAGGCATCCCTCCCAATCTGACAGGCATCCCAGGAGGAAAACCGTGAGTTTTAAACACTAAACTTACCCAGTTAATCATTTATTGAAATAGTGTTCCCTTGCTGGTTAGATTTCCCCTGGGCTACTGAATACTATTACATGAACTGAAGTAAGTTTGAGAGAGTAGGGAGAGTGGCTTAATCCTTGTTTTAATTTTAAAAGCTTATTTGGAGATTTATTTTAAAATCTACTGTCAGCCAAGAGGTATCAGATGGCATCAAGCAAAGAGAATCTTTGGTGGAGAGAGGGAGTTTCTCTTCTAGATGTGAAGTAGGGGAGCCATCTCTGTATAGAAATACACTATAAAGGGATCTCTGGTATACATGGCTGTTGTATTGTGCCTCTCCACATAAAAATAATTCCATTGAATGTGAAAGCCTTGCAGTCACTTGCAAACTCATTAGATGCTATAAACAGCAGTGTGCAGAGAAAGGGATGCTGAAATATTTGTTTGTTTGAAAATACCAAAAAGAATTATCGATCAGAAAGTTCAAAATCATCCTTTATGTTATGGAATTCACCAGAAAAGGTGACCTCTTCTAACAGGCTTTGTTTGCTGTGAGCCTGGAAAAAGAATTACACAGACATGAAGAACTTCATACCCTTGAATTAGAAGGATGAAAAAAACAGTGATGCAAATCATAATGATCTGGAGTTTGTTTGAAGGGCCTCATGTTCCACTTTTTTTGTCACAGTTGAAAGACAAATCAGCTACCTAATAATGGAGAGGCTGAAGGATATTTGGGTACATATGACTTCATTTTAAATATATAAAAGTTGTACGTACTATGATTGTATCCTTCTCCTTCAATGTTACTTGTCATATTAGGCTGCCTTTTCCAGCTGCTCTGTGTTGAAGTACACTTGCACCTTATGCCATAGACTGTAAGATCTATAAAGTAGAAACTTCTTTCTATGGGTAGAGCCTGAACATTTATGGATATCCACTTTAGATCCAGGGGTATCTGTATCCGTGAGTGTGGGTGCGAATATCTGTGGATCACTTTTGCAGATATAAATGCGGATGCAGATACCAATTTTGTATCAATTCAAGGTCTCCCCCGATGTTTGCAGAAAGCACCCAGAAAGTTTCAGTCAGTACTATAATATAATAACTGAAAAGGCAAAAGGGTTTATTGCATCTCAAATGTTTTTATTAATTCCTTGACATAATAGTGACTATTTACAGGGTCCATAATAACTAATTATTGTTAGCTATATTTGAAGACTGCAAAGATGGAGACCTAAGGTGTATACACCTATCTCTACTGAGAGTTGTCTGAAATGGAATGTGTTGCATTGGTATCTTGTTACCTCTACTTCTCTTTTTGATTTTGAACTACTGCCCAATTTTCCTAGGGAACAGTACAGTATATGACTCAAAATTAGGACATATGTTTAAAAATATCCGTACAACTCTTTATAATTGAGTAGATTGGTAATATATTTACAGTTCTTTAAACATGCAAAAATTCTATGTTAGTGTTAAACATTGCTATTACTAATGATCTATGACAGTGGTAAAAGGGGACTGGTAAGAAATGAAGCATGGAGAGAGGGAATGAGTAATATGACACCAGATCTTTTTTAAGATTAAATGTATTTGAATAATTATTCATAGCACTTACTGTTTGATTTAAGAGACAGATTCTCAGCTGGTGTAAATCAGCATAGCTCCATTGACAATATCTTCAGCTGCATCCTCAAAGCTACTTTGCCAACATTGAATAAAACATTGCTTTTTTAAAAATAAAGCTATAATAAAGTTCCACTTTTGGTATCAATGTAAATTCTCAGAGAATGTTGGGTGCTTTCCTCTTGGTACTGTACAACAGCAAACACGCTGTTGGCATTGAACAAAAGATGAATAATGAGACCTCCTAAATAGTGCCTATAGAATCTGCTAGTGGAAATCTAATCTAATTCAACTAGGAAGTTTGTATCAACTGCAACAACCAAAAAATCTGCCTGAGCCTTGCTTGAATATGTTTAGTGTCATAAAGCAAAGTGACAATTTGTCACTCAGAAGAAGAAAAGAGAGAAGCTAGGATGTAGAAATTGTGAACATTCTGTGGTTATGGGCATAAAAAAGGGAAAATTGGAGATTATGTAAATATGGTTGAATTTTTATATTGCTGACAAAGCCAATGTAATATTAGCACATTGTGTAACTTAACAAATAAAATGATTGAATTTTAAAGGCTCCCTTTTAAACTAACAATTTCAATGCAACAATTAAAGCAATGGTCACCTTCAAAATTATATTTCTGTGAGCTGTTTTCACATTTCTACTATTACAACTGTGTTTTTATAAGTACGATTCAGAATTAGCTAGTCTGTGGAAATTAGGAACCCTCTGTTAAAGGTACTTTTGTGTGTACAGAAGAGTCATGTGATAAAGTTTGTGTCCAGTAATATGTGCTCTGATACATCCATCTTCAAACAAAAGAATTTCACAATCTAGGTGTTCTTCCTAGGAACTATTTGGAAATTAAGTTGTTGTAACTTATTCATTGGTGGCATAACTGACAGTCGAATAACACATTCTTTCTGAGTAAGAGTCCTGACCCCAGCAAAAGGAGTTGGGATGTGTGCTTGTCATATCCATGAAACCACAACAAATTAATTGCGTCTTTTTGCTGGTCCACAGTTGGGCCTAAAAACCTTAACTCTTGGTATCATTGATTTCAGTCCATCTACTCACAGAGAGCTATAAAACATATATGCTTAAAGATATGTGCTCCGCACAGTTCAGTTCATTGAGAGCCAGGCAATGAATTACTCCCCTTTGTGATCTCTTGAAGATTCATGTTGATAAATGAAAGCTTCTAAAGGAGTAGTTCCCTATCTATCCCCTTGGACTGAACCATTCCCTAAAGCTTGAAGAGATGTTCCCTGCTATTTCTGCCTTTAGGGAGGCTCTGATGTGTAGGATTCCCTATTTTTACTATGTATGTATATCAAATTGCATATCACAGCTCAATCCCAGTCATGTGCAAGCTTAAGGTTGGAAACTATAGCTTCACATATCTACTTATGCCAGAAATCAGAAGCATGTGTCTTGAGCGATAAAAGGCTATTTGGTCTGTGTCTCAGTAACTTGCTTTGTGGAGACCAACTGGATGCCTAAGGATAGGTATCTAAATTCATATTTAGACTAGGGATGTTAGATAGCATGTAATTGAATAATCATGTAACTGCATCAAATTGTAGGGGTTACACAGTATTTGATACTTCTCAGGGGAGGGGGTGGCAGCCAGTGCTCTGGTCCCACTCCAGGGGAGCCCCCGCCACTCCATGCTGGCCTCTGTATCACCCCACGCTGATGCCTCTGTTTAAAAAACAGTTCCCCATGCAGATCGGCTTCCATCAGCTGCCCCCTGCTGCCGCCTCTGATACAGAAGCAAAAGTGTGGGGCAGACAGAGGCTGCTCTGTGGTAGCAATCCCTGTCCATGGTGGATCCAAGCTCTGACCCTCCACGGAGGGGGACTGCTGCCATGGAGGAGCCTCTGTCTCCAGTGGGCCCATGCTCACCACGGGCAGAGGCTACTCTGTGGGATGCAGAGCAGCCTCTGTCCACAGGGAGCTCGAACTCCCACACAGACAGAGGCTACTACTGCCTGATACAGAGGCAGTGCGGGGAATGTGTATAGCTGACAGGATTAACCAGTAAGCCTAGTCTTACTGGTTAATCATGTAGTCGTCTACATATTGACATCCCTAATTTAGACATCTAAAATTTCAAGTCTTCAAAAGTATTTGGTGTTCTCCCAGCTATTGTTAACATAAATTGAAGGTGAGGATGTTCAGTACCTCTGAAAATCTGACCATTGCATTAGGTACCTAACTCTGGAGTTAGATGCGAAAATGTAGGCAGCCATATTTGAAAATATTGGTTTGTAACAATCATGTTCTCTTTTCTTAAGTAGTTACGATAGGTAATTCATTATATTACTTTCCCATTCTCCTTTCTTCAGAGCTTATTCATTTCATGTAAGTGCGGATGGTCAGATGCAACCTGTACCTTTCCCTCCTGATGCCCTCATTGGACCAGGAATCCCTCGCCATGCTCGTCAGATCAACACTCTGAATCACGGGGAAGTAGTGTGTGCAGTTACCATCAGCAACCCCACAAGACACGTGTACACTGGTGGAAAGGGGTGTGTCAAAGTCTGGGATATTAGCCACCCTGGGAACAAGAGCCCTGTCTCTCAGCTAGATTGCCTGGTAAGTGAACATCTGTGAATGAAAGTGAAGATCGATCAGATGGGATGGGGTAAAAAAAAAGCCACCGAGAAAATATTCAGATTGTGTAAGAGTGATATGATAGCATTAAAATATGGATTATTCTAACCCACACACCTACTGGATGTGATGTACTGTCCCATCTAGTGGCTGAGACTGCTTATCAAGAGAATAATGAGTATGCTCCAGGCTTCGCTACCATTCAGCTGATATTTGTCTCATGTGGTAGAGGTGGCTGTTACATTATGATGACCAATTAGCAGGGCTCAACAAATAATACAATACCACAGGCGAGTAGATTGTAACCCAGAAGAGCCGGGTTTGGGAGATATGCACATGCGCAGAACGATCTGTGCATGCGCAGATCACCGGACGGCGCGGTTTGGCAACCCTGCCAATTAGTATCTTCAGCCCTGAGGTGGCTCCTCAGTTTGTGCTGATTGGTGAGCTTAATTCAGGTTCTTTTTATTATTACAGGTATTGCTGAGTTGTTCAATTTCCGGTCTGTTTGTTACAATACCCGTGCTTTTCTCCTGATAAACTAAAATCTCCTAAAACTATATAGGCAAGAGGCAAGATTAGACACACTGCAGTAGATGCAGTGTATAAATGTTGACACTTATGGGTGCATGTGTAAGCCCTATATCCTTTTATGTGCTAAAAATTATTTGTAAACTTATATTCTAATACTTGGTTCATGCAGCTGCATGATCGTGTGTATTCTGACAGTTTAAAAATCTTCCTATGTTGTTATTGGGAACAGCAAATTATTTGCATGTGCTTACAGGATGCACCACTGTTAGTAACTTTTCTTGTCATTTACTTTTCTTGATGAGATGGTACTTTCTGATGTAATTACCGCTACATCAGAACTGTGCAGAACATATGATCCTAATATCTCCTTGGTGGCAGCAGGGCTCATTACAATGAGAACAGGAGGTATTTTAAAAATTGGTACTCCCTGGTATCAAGGGGTTAATGTACTGAAATGAGCAGAGTATAAAAATGAAACTTTCTATAAAAGCTGTCGAAAGCAGGAACATTGAAGTGTTTGGAGTTGGGTGCAGATCTTTGCATTTTGATGCTAATTAAGATTAAATAGCTCTCACTACTGAATTTTGTAGATCAAGTTTAAGTACTTCCCTGATGTCATGTAATTTTCTGGCATTAATACACTTTATCATTGTCATAAGTATAAATGGCTCATTAAAACCAGGAGGGAATACAATACTTTTATGGATTTCTGCTCTCATGTTAATGCTGTTTTCCTTTCCTCATGAGTAATCTCGTGATGGCTTCTGTCTCCACAGAACAGAGATAACTACATCCGTTCCTGCAGATTGCTCCCAGACGGCCGCACCTTGATTGTTGGTGGGGAAGCCAGCACATTATCCATTTGGGACCTGGCAGCTCCTACTCCACGTATAAAAGCAGAGCTGACATCTTCTGCTCCAGCCTGCTATGCTCTAGCTATCAGCCCCGATTCAAAGGTCTGCTTTTCCTGCTGTAGTGATGGGAACATTGCAGTGTGGGATCTGCACAACCAGACATTAGTCAGGTAGGTCAACAGAACTGGATTGATGGGTTGTGAAGGATGAATTAACAATAGCGCGTATTTTTCTCTCTTAATTTTACTAATGTGCTCTTATTTCAGTTGTCAGCATACCTTTCAGTATTTTGTTGTGGAGGAGACAGAATAGTAAAAACTTGAGAGAGTCACATCCTTTTTATAGGTTGAAGAGGGTTTTATAGCAGCAGACTTAAGTCCTGTTCTAATGCTGCCAGATTGTATTCTGGCATCTGATGGCTGCTTACTCAGCCCGTGTTGACTTTGCTAAGATTCTTCTAGGTTCCACTAAAGCAGGAATAATTGGATTTTGGGTAATATGTTTCACACAACCATGCCTAGTGTTTATATCCTAAATAAGGAGGGTCCTGAATTACCGCATTCAGATCTGGGTTTGAACAGCACAGAGTTTGGGTATTTTCACATTTATTTTGGTTATTTCTCTTCCCCAGTGTAAATCATCTTAAGTATGACCCAGAGATACAGATCTACATTACACAGCATGGTAATACATGTAAAAAATGGGCTTTTTTCTGTATTAAACCTGTGTAAGTAAGGCTTTTTAGAGCTAGTACATTTAGAATTATATGCTGAAATCCCCTGAGGAAGATATGACATTCCCAGTACCTGATATGTCACAATCTGAAGCAGAGATCCCCAAATCTGAACTTTAAAACATACTTTTTAAAAAAGCATGATGCTGACTAGGCTGATTATTTGATGCATTCCACACACAGTTCATTCTGTTATCTACAAATTCAAAATAAATTCAAATTGCTCTACTAAAATATTATTTTGCCACTTTTTAAGAGCTAGAGATTTTTTTAAAGTAAATAAATCCAACTAGCATGGCCTGCACAGAAAAATGAACGTGAATCAAAACTGAATCTTTGTACCATGAGTGTGGACACGTTTTCTTTTTTGACATTTTTAGACAATTCCAGGGCCACACGGATGGAGCCAGCTGTATTGACATTTCTAATGATGGCACGAAGCTCTGGACGGGAGGTTTGGACAATACGGTCAGATCCTGGGACCTCAGAGAAGGAAGACAGCTACAACAGCATGATTTCACATCACAGGTTCGCTTTCAGAAGCTTTGACATGTTAGAGAATTCCATAGTGGTTTTATAAAATAAGCACATTTTTTAAAAACAGACTGGAAGAAGAGCTTCTAGAATTTTTTCACTTAGTCTCTTCCACTGTTTTAAAATGGCAGCTAAACGTTTATTTCTAGATTATGGCTCTCAGTTTGACAGGTCAATATTTTACCCATAATTACAACAGAGAGCCCTATTTATAATGGGAACTTGTCAGATTAAAATGTTTGTCTAACCAGTTTTCAGTTGTATAGATATTTGTTCAAAAGATATTACAAACATATTTCTAATGCTGATGGGATAGGACAGTAACTTTCATAGTTTTGATGCTTTATGCAGTTCCAAACAAGTTGTGTTTATATGAACTAATTTATCCTGATTATTGATTAGCATGTTTTAAAACCTGTGTAGTAGCCCAAAATGTGTGTCACATTTTTGAACAGTGATAACAATGTAGCAGGAATTAGCTCTTGACTATTTCAAGGGCTTCCCTTAGCCCTGGTCTACATTAGGACCTGAGTCTGGAATAACCCCTCCAAGTTCAAATTAGTAAACGGTGAGACCACACTACCAACACCGTTATTTCGGAATAACGGGCTGCAGGATTCAAACTCTGTACTTCTGCTTTTCATCAGGAATAACACTAATTCCAAACTTGTAAATTCAAAATAACTTTAGTGTGGATGCTTCAGTGCCACCAATTCAAGCAACTTGGCTTTTGAGAGGCCTCCCACAGCTCCTCAGAGTGCCTGCTGGGCCTCTGAGTCTGAGGTAGCGCATCCACATTAATGGAGCCTGCCTTGGACTAATTTTGATGCTTCCCTGTAGTAAGGACACACAAATTCAAATTTGTTAAATCAGGAGTTCTTAAGTTGAATTTAGTAATTTCAAAATAATTTCCTACTGTAGACATGGCCTTACTGACTAAAGCATGCGCTGTGTTAATTCCAGATCTTCTCACTGGGGTATTGCCCAACTGGTGAATGGTTGGCAGTAGGAATGGAGAACAGTAACGTTGAGGTGTTGCATGTTACTAAACCAGACAAGTATCAATTGCATCTTCACGAGAGCTGTGTGTTGTCACTCAAGTTTGCTCACTGTGGTAAGCTATAGCATCTATGCTCGTATTTTCTTTCTAACAAACCTCTTTTGAATAAAAACAAGGAAATATAAAATCAGATGTTCAGTGTAATATTAAAATTAAATATTTTTCTATATGATTTTTTCAATGCAAATTACTTAGTGAAATACCTTAAATTAGTCAGACATAAGTTTAACTATTTTTTTCATTAAGATATGAATTGATCACTATTCTGCATAATAGGGGGGTTGTATGAGTTCATTGAATATATAACAATTATAAATTTAAAAAAAATCTGATTTCAGGCAAATGGTTTGTAAGCACTGGAAAAGATAATCTTCTTAATGCCTGGAGAACACCTTATGGAGCCAGTATATTCCAGGTAATAATCTCCTAAAAGCTGTTTTACACATTACAGTGCAATAAAAGGGCACTTTTCAAGGTCCATTATTAGCTTAAGGAGTTTTTAAAATGAGTGTTTTTGGCTAATTATGTTTCTTGTAAGATTTTTGACTGTTATAATGAGGTATTCAAGTTTTTGTTCTCAATAAGATTACAATAATTTTTATCATTACAATAAAGTGGACCCTTATTTTGAAGTTGAGCTTTAATGCCTGTTTTGAATTATTTTTGTCTTGAGTTTCTTATGCCCGTTTCCTCTCCATATAATGCAGGTTCCACGTGGCTAACTTTAGCATTCATTGAATATCCAAAATCCTGCTAAAAATAGTGAAAACCAGCTCCAACACTTGTGTATCTTTTCTCGCTTCTCAGATAAGAGGAATAAGTCTCCTCAGCATTCTCCCTGCCCCCCAAACTTATATCTGTGACACGCCATTTTTTTAAAAATCCTGTGTAGTGAAACAGCTTAACAGGTTTGGTTTAGATAGGCACCATTAAGATGTTGTGAAGTGTGTGAAGATTTAAAAGTC